CTTTTTTTTTTGATGTTTGAAACTTGAAAATACGAAAATCATTTATTTTAATAGACAAGCTGCCCTCCTTACTTAGTCTTGTCAATATCTTTTCACATTTACCCGGTCCTTGGGATTCATGAGCCAAACATTTGGATGTTGTTTCTTCAGCTGGCATTTTTTTTATTTTCAAGAATTGTTGACCTGCTAAACTATGTTAAGGAATTTCTTAAAACAGAGGCACAAAAAATCTTTAATGGAGCAGAAACAAGTTAAATAACTATTTTACAATAAAGATTTCATGCACAGCTTATTTTAATCTTTAATGAAAATACTAGAGTAACTGAAAAACTAAATATTAATCAAACATTCTCACTGACTAAATAACTGGAGAACATTTAAGAAATGTAAAAGTTTGCAATATTCAATATAAGCAAATATAATATTCAATATTATATTCAATATAATACAATATTCAATATAAGCAAACTTAAGTTTCTAAAAGCTATACATTAAAAGGATACAAGGATAAAGATCCGTTAAAAAATCCGCTGGGATTAGTACTTCTCCAACACTATAGTATTTACATTTTGTATCATTGTCACATACAGTGCATGTCAGCCTTCTCATATACAATGTTTCTTTTTTAGTGGAACTCTAAAAAAGAGTTCTCATGAACTTGTAAAGTCCCCTTGAAAGTTGTTAGGTTTTCCGGTGCACATTTCTCATAGAAATTGAAATCTGTGTTGTTAATAGTATAGATGGTTATACTTGGACACTTTTCTTTAATTTCTTCGATCAAATAGTTAATATCAGGAATATCTTTCCCTTGTCTAATAAATCTGTCTGCGGTTCTTTTGATACAACCTCCTATTCCATCAGGGGCACTTTTTCCGTGCCCTTTTTCTGTGAAACGCCAACTTATAGTTTTAGCTCTAAACTCTTTTTGAAAAAAAGTACCAACCAAATAAAACATGGACTTGTTTCGGTACTGTTGAGAAGTACTATCACTAAGTAATGAACTGTTTCAATGACAGGCAGCTTTTTAGTTTTAAGTCATTAATAACAGGCTTTAAATGCGAACAGATTCAAATAAAGTCATGACTGTTCAGCCTGTTGACAACCATGACAAAGTCAGCCTGTTATCTGAAATTGTACAGTAAAATTTTGCCTTTACTTTATTTTTAGAAATACTACAATAGTATGCCATAACTGTATGGATTGACACTTGATTTCTTGATCCGCCAAAGTGGAGTGATTGGATTTCTTTTGAGTATTTGCAATTGTAATTTTCTGAAAAGTCACAATAAATAAAAATATCCCTAGGCCCTAAGTTATTTTTTTATTTCTGATGTAGCTTTCTACTGGTGTTTTATATTGCATACAAGGTTCATAAACTTCTCCAGTAAGTTGTTAATAAAATGCAAAAACAGCTCTTTTTTAGTTAATGTTAACTCTTCTTTTACAGTTTTAAAATGTCTTCATTTTATCTTTCACCTCAAGTTTAACACTTTTTTTAGACCATTGTGGAAATGTTAATTTTTTTTCATATCATTCTCAAATTCTTTACAAACTATTTTTTTTGTTTGAAAGGCATACTCCACATTTCCTTTCCAGGCATGATTCTCTCAGCTCGCCGTTGCATGTTATACTTTTTAGCAAGTCAGTAGGATATTTCTATGACAACATCTTAAAACTATACAACTTTTCAAGAATCAAAGAAAAATTCTCATGGTCAACACATAGAAAAAAAATCTTGATTACAAAAGTCTTGTTGAGCAACGCAAATGGGTCTTAATTTGCAAAATGTGCTATGAGACGTTGACTGTTTGAACTCATTCCACAAATTCAACACTGCATTATTTAATAGTCTTTTGTTTTTTCAGTTTGTTTTTTGTTATTGTTTCTTTTTTCCCAGCTGTTAGACTACTAGAACTATCTTTTTCTAAAAAGTTCCTAACTTCCATTTCAAGTTTTTGTTGTTTCAGTACATTTGAGGGCTGATTCAAGTTGTATGGTAAGATATATCTTGAAATAAGATTGTTGCTTTTTTGAAGATATATCTTAACATACATATTGCTTCTTTGAAGTCTATACTTCTTTATTATCTTTCCGCTTAATACCCTGGCAAAATCCTTCTTTTTGTCAATAAAACTCTCAGTAGAAAAATTTGATTTTATTTGTGTCTTTAAGCAAGTTTTTTTTTACTTCCTTCAAGCATTTCGTACCACTGGTCATTTTTTTAACCACTTTTTGAGGAGTATTATCTGTTGCATATATGCAGTCTGTTGAATTTTTGTTTGTATTTATCCCCTCTTTGCTTTATCAAATTGTTTTTTTCTTCTAATATTTTGATTTTTTTCTTCAACCCATATCTATATTTTCTACGAGCTTTTAGCCCGCTTCTTTTTCTGGAACTAGATTCCTGACTGGGGCCAGGAAGTATATGTCTATTTTATTTTCGATAGGAATATTTACAGTTGGACTTTCAGGTAATGTAGACAAATTTTCAATGAGTTTTTTTTTTCATTTCCTGTCTTCTTTTGGTCCTTTCTTTCCAATCTTTTCTTACTGATCTTTTATCTCTTTCTGAAAGTTCATGAATTTTCTTTCTCTATCTTTCAGTTTTTGTTCTTCATACTTGTCCGGGTTTTTAACTTTCATCATCTCCCTTGCTTTATCTATTGCTTAATCTTTCCTATTTTTGTTAACTGTAAGTAAAGAAAAAAATTTAAATATCTGGATAGAAACATTTATCTTTTCAATAATAATTAATTAGCTATATTAGCAAAGTTTTAAAATGTTAAAAATGCTAATATATTAAAAAATTCAGGTACAGGTAAAATTGACATTTGTTGTGACAAATTGAAGGAAAAACCCTAAAAGGAGTGCTATGTTTTGAGGCTAGGACTCTGTTCCCCTTGGAGTAAATATGCCTAGGTAATTGCTATTAAACAAAAGTATTGCTTATAAAAAAGTAAAATTATTGTATGTATGTATGTATGTATGTATATATATATATATATATATATATATATATATATATATATATATATATATATATATATATATATATATATATATATATATATATATATATATATATATATATATATATATATATATATAGACATATGCACACACACACACACACACACACACACACACACACACACACACACACACACACACACACACACACACAAACACATAGGTCTTTACTATATAGTATATAAATACATAGTTAGAGTTTTGGAAATTTAAAATTTAGATTCAGGGTTTTAATACTTTATATACTTGGCATTATGTTATCATTTCTAATGTAATTGTATACAAACTGATTCAGTTTACAGTAGTCCACTATTTAGTACATATTTAATTTATTCTGCCAATAATTGAATGATATCATTAAATTTAATTTTAAACTGTTTCAACCATACTTATTTTTTCCATACTTTCATCTCCATTGCATAACCACTTTTTGTATTTTCAAAAATTATAAAGCTGACCTTTTCTACTGACCACTTTCAAAATTTGCACTAACTATTATTGATAAATTATGTTGTAAAGTATTTATCGACGTATTTTTCTAACACCTCTATGAATACTTCAATCTTTACCAAATGGCACCTATATCTAGCGTATCTAGGAACAATGTCAGCAAATAAGAAATGCAAACCAATAGTAGTTTTTAGTTACATCAACAATAATTTAGTGGTTTATAGCAAGTGATCTCAGCATCCTAAACACCCAGTCTCCAATATTACATCTTCTTTCCATTTACCCATATACAATAATACACAACAATCGAAATTAGGAAAGTGAGGTCAGCAATAAATTGCAGACCTAAAACTGTTAGAGGTCGGCATCAGGTTGGCAAAAAAACATTGACACAAAGGGGTTACCATAAAACATAGAAACGAGGTCAGCAAATTTTTACCGACCTCAAACACTTTAAAATTGGCAGTTAGGTTGGCATTGTCATTTAATTATATACAAAGTGTTGGTGACTAAAGTCTTAAAATGCCTAAGAATAAAATAAATGCATACAGATTATAATAGTTATGTACAATAGATTGATTATATACAAAATTGCACACAAATATTCCTTTTAACAATACATAGTTATTCACAATTCAACTTTATACATCATTTTATAGTTCAGAACTTCTTTAAAAACTTAAATTTACAATATATATAAAGTTATACCCACAGAAACAATTTTAAAACAATGTCTATATAATTAAAAGTGAACAATAATAATAAAAATAACCCGCTATGTTTAGATAACAGGTCTTATTATTACTTAATTGTTAGGATTTATTCTCAGCCAGGACTTAATACAACAACAGTTTGGTTTATTATAAATTGTACATATAAACACTTTTGTACAGTTTAAATAAAATACTTACCCACATAACGTATTATATCTATTTACTGATAACTGCTGAGAGCTTAAAATGGCTCTAAGCAGTTATCATTAAAATTAGCAACACAGTTATTTTGGGTTAATAATTATTGCAAAATCTAGTTTTTTTCACAATTTAATGAACCTATATTTACCTTTAAATAATCTTTTAATTTTTTTATTTAATTTTTTTAACAACATTTGCTAAAGAATCATTTGGAATTAATAGTAATCATTTGACTTGATGTAAAAAAAATTTAAAATTTTTGTTGTTAATGTAATTAATCAACAATACCCCACAACTTTAGCATCTGCTGATGTTAACTTATTTAATAATTTACAATTACTGCTAAGGTTATATAGAACTACATTTAAATTATTAAGATTTAAACTCAAGTTAATACTTTATACTCAACAAACCTTTCTTGGCTTTTTAAAGCAACCTAGTATTTTACTAGGTTGCTTTAACCTAGTGTATTAATAATACAAACAATTATTACTAAAAGAATTATAGTATACATTATTAAGTATTGTTGTTCCAAATAAAAAATTTAAATCTATAAAGTGTGACGATAAATTATTTTGAAACAAATAAATAACAAAATATACATACCAGTAAAGATTTATCTGCATCTAACGTTTTAAACTTTGGAACCAGCTTCCAAGATGCTAGCTTAACTGCAAGAATGTGCGCTCTTTCTGCATCAATCATACGAATCAGCGGCATTGAAATGTTTTCCCACACTGATTCGTTGGTAGTGAGACATAAAGATGTTAATGTCAAAGAACTGACAGCTGAAGAACCAACTAAAACCTTTGCCCAATGTTTGGTAAAAAACATGTTTTACTAAAAAAAATATTATTTCAATTATCAGAATATAAAAAGACCTTTTTTTCAAATATATTATCCATAGTTTTTACTTATATAGTTTAAATTTTTTTTTTAATCCCATTTTCTTATTTATATATGACGGAATCAGAGCCAATACATGACCAAACCATCAATCAATCTATGCCAATAAGTGCTTATGACTGAATAGTCAATTTATGTACACTCTGCTGTGGCTAAATAAGACAACATGAGTATACTCCACTGCACCTATGATTAGTTACCAAATTTACAAGTAGTCTACTTAGAAATCTTCTAAATGAAGTCAGTGCACATTGATTATTGTTTGTAGTTGATTTGACACTGAATGTTGTTGATAGTTGATTTTATTTATGGTATTATTTTCTGGAAAAATTCTACTATGCTAAAATAAAAGTCTATACTAGGTGCTTCACAGGAAACTTAATTATTATGCGATCAAGATTTTTCCTTCAATGTTTCTTCAACCAATAAAAACTAAACTATTCTAGATATTTTTACCAACAAACATGATCTGGTAAATCTTATCCAAAACCTTAATACATTGGGAGATAGTAATCATATTATGATAACCTTCAGCATTTATATGAAACCAATAGTTTAAAAATGATTTCAGAACCATATTTGATTATAATAAAAGCAAGTTTTATGGCATTTTAAAACTTGCCATAGAGTTACGTTTGTAACTCTATGGCATGTTTTAAACAAGAGTTACGAAAAATGGATTTAAAATTTCAAAAGGTAACACTCTAGATTGTTGGACAATTGTTAAATGTATTGCTAGACTTATAATTGGCTTTTGTTCTAAAGAACTTGATTAACACCAATGCTAAGTTTAAAAAACCCTTGTAGTTGACTCATAAAGTAGCAAATGATATCAAAAGGCAAAAAACTTTTGAAACATAAATTCAAGTTATATTCTGATTAGTGTTAATAAAAGATGCAAACAATTGATTAAAAAGCAAAAATTGACTTTGAGCATAAGATGGCCTAAAATATTATAAACCATTCTTTGCTTATGCTAGGAGCAATATCAAGTTGACAGTTAAACCTGGAGTATTGCTGAATAAAAAGGGTGTTAAAATTGATTCAGTTACTGGTATAACCAAGTATTTAATAAGTAATTTATTTATTTTTACAAATGAGAATGTTGATATTATGCCAGAATATAAAGATAGTTTTAATAGGCTAAAATTGGCAGGATCAATTACTGCAACTTTCCTGATTAAATAATTCATATGACTACTACTAATAACTACTAATAGACTACTTTATAATATCTAAGATAAAATTTGTATTTGTTATTAAAAATCAAAATGCACTTTATTCCCAATTTTGTAAGTCACTTGATGATGGTTTCATGCCAGATGAATAAAATTTTTAATGTTATTGCTATTCTCTGGTAATAGATCCAATGTAGAAAATTACAGACTTGGTTGTCTTACCAGTCAAACCTGTAAGCTGTTTGAATCACTAATACAAGATGTTTTAGTTAAATACCTTGAAATCAACCAAGCAACAGTAGACTGACAAAATGAGATCAGTAAATGAGATTAGTAAATCAGCTAGAATAATTGTTGATTTTAGAGCAGGTAACTGATTTTGTAGACAATGGAGATTCTGTAGAATAATCTCCAAAAATACAAAAAAATCTACAGCATTGTATATAAGTCTTTAAATTAGCCATATCCCAAAAGATTCTTTAGTTTTTTTTTTAATTAATTTAAAACAAAAAGTCACTGTTTTTTTTTAATCAAATTCCCAAGTCTCTAATTGGAGCATTACAGTCAAGGGAGCTTCTAGTTTTTTTAGTTTTTATTTTATTTGCAACTTTTACTTAACCCTAAACTCCGAATTAATACAATTAAAGCAAAAGTTTAAATTGTAACTTTAAAAACTTGGGTGGTGTAGGAAAGCAAAAGTTGAATTTTCGATTAAAAAAAAAGTTTTCGAAACTCTATTTTCGTTTCGGTAAGTTTGAAATAATTTTAAAGTAATTAATTTTTTTTATTATTAATATTTTATTAATCACCCTCTGTAAAATATATTTACAAGGTAAAAACACAAACTAAGAAAAAGAGATAAAAAAAAGTATTATTTAGGAATGTTTTTTTCAAGTGTCTTTTTAAAAATTGTTCGCTGTTCTTTTACATTCCAAAATTGAACCGCGTGTACCAAGATATGAAAAGTACCTTCAGGTAAGGTAGGAAATGTACCTTCAGGCAGTGGCGGAACTACTGGACGCAGGACCCTGCGTTGCGGGGGGGGGGGCCTACCAGCTATAGGGGGCCCTCATATAAAAAAAAATATACTCTCAATAATATTTATACTATAAAACTCTTTTCCGCAATAAAAACATTCTTTTGCGGACGGGGGGGGGGGGCAAATTTTGAAGTTCCGCCACTGCCTTCAGGTAAGGTAGGAAAAGTACCTTCAGGAAAGGTAGCTTCAGGAATTACATCCTCAAAGACTTTTACTTTTTTTTTTTTAACAAGCATTAAGGTTTTCATATTCGGTTTATGATTATCATATAATTCTTTTATATAATCTAAAAAAGAAAATTTAGCTGAACAGTAGTTAAGTTGGGACTAATGATTTCAAAGGTTACTTTATTGTTTAAAAGGCGGATAAATAGATTTATTTTGTTTTGGTGTATATAATTTGACATCTCCTTAATTTTAAATATAGAGTGTATATAGTTTTTACTATACTTGGAGACATTAAAAATTGATTTAACTGCGTTCCTTTTAAACGTGTCGAGTCTTTTCATTGTTGAATCTTTATTTTCACAAAGCTCTAGACCGTGGGTTAACGTCGTAACTGCTTATGATTTATATAATTGAACCCGTCATTTCGAAAAGGGCACAAGTCACACTTTTTTCGAATTTCAGTTTTTAATGCAATTTTATTTATTCAAGTGTTTTACATATTCCATTTGAAGGAGAAACATTTTCATATGCCACAAGTCAACTTGAAATGCAAATGAAAATTAAAGTCTCTTTGAAAATGGCACAAGTCCCGGACTGATGCCTTTTTCAAGTGAAACGAAGCGCAACTGTAGTGACGTAATCTCACGTTATTTGTAACAAAAATGGAAAATCGCGAGCTTGCTGAAAATGCATATAAATTTAGAAAAAGAGTGTTTGGTATAAGAAACAGTGGAAAGTATAAACACGAAAAAATAAAAAAAGCCAAAATTGCTGGAGAAGCTTATAAAAACCATAAAGGAAATGATGTGGCACCAAGGCAAACAGGTGCTTCTTGCAGGTTAGTTTTTTGTTCTATAATATAGAATGACTATATTCGTTCTCAAATTTTTGCTTATTTACTCATGTTTTACCACCAATATTTGGAGGTAAAACATCTTGATATATAACTATTATAATATTAACTCAATAATTCTATTTATTTACAGATGTAATTCGAAGTGTATGGAGCTTGTATCTGAAGATGTTATAGAAAGTACAATTCAGTTTGTTAACAGATTTGATAGTAAAAATGCCCAAGACACATAAGACTAAGACGGTTTAGATCAGAAGAACCTAAGAAAAAAAAATTTTCTTTTATTTATCACATTAAGGTTGAAGGTGTGATAAAAAAAGTATGAGATAAATGAGATACAATATTACATACCAAAAAGAGGTCGCTCATTCTTGCCTAATGATAGAATGTTTGGAACAGCAAAGCGACATATTCGAAAAAATGATCGGATTTACACACCAACAGAGTATGAAAATCTTATAGCTGAAGCAAGCGAAAAATTTGAAATTAGAAGGCCCAAAACTGAAGATGTTATTGATGTAAAAAAATGGTGGCCAAACCATTATAAGAAACTTGTGCTATCTGTAAATTCCTATGGAAAAGGAGTACCCAAGGACAAAAAAGTTACTTTTGGTATTTCTAAAGTATCACATTTCACATTTTCTAAGACCACACCAGGTTTAGTGACAACACGTGAATCCATAGATTGTTTAGTCAGTTATGATTTTCAGCTATTACAAAGGATGGGTACAAGGCCAACCTTACCATTAAGTAGTACTCCTGCATATGTTGGAAAATTGCCTATCAATGAAAAAAAGATATCAGATTTGAAAAAAATAGAAAAATATATTCCATATTCAATAGAAGAGTATCAAAATTTCTATACAAAGGTTTTTGCTTGGCCAACAACTTCGACAAACAATGAATTAAGTGATGATTAACTAACAATAATTGTTTTTATGTAATAATAAATCATTATTATTCTGATAATCTTTGAATTTTTATATACAAAAAAGTGTTCATTTCGAAAAAGACATAAGTCCATAAATTTAAATTAAAAATATATGTGTTATATATTGTTTTTTTATAATAAATAAAACTCTAAAAACTTATCTATGACTTTTATTTATCTACTCTTATATTCAGTTTTTTTAGCACCATAAACTTTTTTTCTTATAAATTTATTTTTGTTGCTCCTGAAAAGTTTGAATAAATGGACTTGTGCCCTTTTCAAAATGACGGGTTCAATTGGATAATAGATCTTGGATGTGCAAACCGGATTCAAGATTGAATCAGAGTTTGCACTGTTGCATCTAAACAATTTTTTACTTTTGAAATTCTAAAATTTGCTTCGAAATATTTTTTTATTTCGAAATTCTGAAAGTATTACACAATATACAAATACTGCTATTAAATTCTAAAATTTGCTTATATTTATTTTATTACTGAAATTGTACAAAATTTTATTAAATTTTAAAAATTAACATAAAATAATACTTAAAATTTTTGGTGTTACAGCACAGTGGTGGCCGAGAAAAGGGTTTAACTACCTCCCACTATTTTATAGAAGAATCTGCAATTATTTTAAAAATAACTCAGGGGTCGTTCGCAAGTCACCTCACATATTTAGGCCTAGCGAGGTTTCGGATTTTGTGACACTTTGCAACCGGGGGGGGGGGGGTGAAAGAGGGTTTACAAATTTGTGACATCACAGGTAA